AACGCTCAAAAAGCTGCCAACGAAGGTGTACGAGATGCTGTGCTTGACTTGCATCGTTGGCTGGACGACTATGAACAACGTGCTGGAATTTCCAGGGATATTCCTCTGGTAGAGGAGTCCCTGAACGAACTGGTAATTATAACGAGTCCAGCATGCAGTCTCCATTCAGACTAAGACTACCTTTTTAGAAGCGAGAGGTACAGCTACTACGAATGGATCTTGATAGCCGCATCGCAGTTTCCAAAGATCTCGCAGAAGACTTGAGCAAGTTGTCTGCTTCTAATCCTCCTGAATGGAAGAATATGATTGAGGAGAAGTTGAAAAAGGCTGTTTTGCGTCTGCAGAGAATTAGTACCGATCTTAGGGTATATTGCGTACAAACAGATATTTCTTACAATAGTTATTTCTTTATAGCATATTTTTTAAGGGTTTCCGAGACAATGTCAACGATGCGCTAGAAGGCGTTGTGAAACTCGAATCCAATGGAACATTGATAAATCGTTCTTGTGATTCGCTTTCTTCGAATTTGAAAATGACAAATGCTCGTGATCTGCCCCGATTGCAAGAGATTGCCGCAGAGCTGGACTCGATGAACTCTCAACTTATTGTTATGAGAAGTACAGCTGAGAACATCAAACAGATACCGAACGTATCAGGAACGGAAGCGGTTGACATCTATGTGAGATTTTATGATTTCCGGAGGAGTTTCTTCTTTCACTGTATTCCTTCAGATTGATGGAATTAGCAATAAAGTTAACAGCTTAAAAGAAGAACTTGAAGCCAAATATTCGCAGCAAGCTGAAGTCGGGCACTTGGAAATGGAATTCGAGAATATCAAGCAGAGGTTTCCACATTTCTACCATATGGCATTGCCTTCATCAGAAACCGTACTTCTTTTTTTCTCTGATATATTCTGAAATGATTCTCTCTGCCAAATTCGTCTTATATCTTCAAGGTTGTAATAACATTAAAGCACATTATAGGCTGAATCAATGGCTAGGTCAGTTTGATAAGGATATGGAAGAACTTGAGCCCGTTTCTATACAAAGCGAAAAGCTACAAGTGCAAAAAGAGCAATTGTCTTCTATGATGCATAAGCATAAAGAAGGTAAAATATGATAATAGTTTTCGAGCATACGCAAAGTGTATATCTTCAGGACTTACGCTTGTCGAAGAACTTGACTCTATCGCAACACGTTTGGGTGACGCTGAGGAAAGCAGTTATGCTGGGAACAGGCTGAGTGCAATCCCTAGAGTTGCAATGGATCTTTTGACAAGGTTTTCCATAACTGATCTACAGTTTGGAGTGTGATACAAATAATCTTCTTCATAAATAACTTCCTATGTCAGGTATAATGCCCAAGCTGACACGCTCAGAAGGCGCTCCGAAAAAGTAGACACAGCCGCACACAAGGCTGCAGAACTACTCACGGCTGAAGAAGAATTACGTTCATGGATTGCAGTCCAAAACAAGAATTTAGTGAGATTAGATTCAGATTAAATACTGACAATGAGAGACAAACAATTTTTTTTGCAGTCTGAATGCGGTGTACCCACCACAATGGACGCGTTGCACTCATTACAAACCACACTGGAACGTCTTAATAAGAGCAGAAGAGCAGAACAACGGCGACTTGACGACGTAGGTGATAATTGTACATTTATGATAGATAGAAAGAATCTTAAAAATAACCATATGCACAACCCTCTTGTAGATGTCGCTTTTAAAGTAATTGATGAGATTTTGAGCTAATGAGCAAGGGATTTCAGTTTTCACTAAAATTTTATCTAGTTTTCTTCGAAAAACTGTACATTAATTGACAGAAGCAAGCTTTTTTTGCCACTTTTTCACTTTCTAGAAGAATAGCGTTTAGAGCATTCATGTATTGATTTGACACACTTGCTATTCAATAACTGCTGCAAAAAAACAAAGTTTTTCCATACTCAACATCTTCTTAATCGTTCTTTCTTGAGATGATGCTATTTCTTAGTTACCGTATCTCTCGCCATTTGTCGATAGTTCCTGTTTGTATATTATCTTTATCATCAATGTAAACTTTACTGCGGTTATATTCATCACTTTTGATGTTTTTCGAATACTACCGTGTGTGA